AGCCTCTGTAACACATCATAATAATTTGGAAAGTATTTCAATTTCTTCGAAATCCTCATTAATCATGTAAAACTATAGGTCCACACCGTCAATCATCAATAAGTTACCTATCATAATTTGAACAACCTAGCTTGACATAACGACATAGAATCTTCCACATATCTTTCCTTGTCACCCAAACAAAAACTCGATCTTTAGAAAAGTCAATAAATATCTAGTAAGTTTGTACCGAACTGGTTCACATCTCACAGTCATGTCTAAACTCATAGGCAAAAATTCAATAAATCCTTCAACTACAAACCAAGGGATTATACTAGAAGTTTTATTCCTTCAGCTTTTTAAAATTCTTTTCATAATACAATTTCAAGTACCTTGAACCCTTCAATATACTAAAATCTTGTTTCTTTCATTGACTCAATAACCAATCTTATCATTTGATGGATAAAGCACAAATAATCGGAGAAACAACAATTTTTATGAATTATTCTGTGAAGGCCGATACAACTTATTATAAAAAAGGCACCAATCTTAACAAAGAGTCCATCCAGGGCCGACTTAACCACTGGGCCTTTAAAGTCGTAGCTTGGGGCCTCATATTTTTGGGGTCCCTCAATTTTAAAAAAAGTACTTACACATATATGTATATTTTTTTTAAAAAACATGTAAGGAGTATAACAAAAAAATAAAAATTGTTGTTAGTTTTTCCCACTTTTCTAAGGAAATTAAATATTTTATGAAAATAATTTTCTCAAGTGGGAAATTGTGTTTTCTTATTCATCTCCGAAAAATTTGACCTTATATTATTATTTACCTTATACTCATCTTTTCTTATTCATCTCCGAAAAATTTGACCTTATATTATTATTTACCTTATACTCATCTTTTTTTATCCTGTAGTATATTATTTTTTATTTTCAATGTTGAACTCTCTCCTAAAAAAATGATTTAATGTTACTTACAAGTTAAAAAAGAACAAAATATTCTTTTGAGTGTCTTCTTCAAATTTTAAGAAGTGCAACAAGCAATCATTATATTGAAGGAACTCAAGACTAATTCAATATTATTATATCAACTTATCATATTCGCGAGTCAGGTTTTATTATTCAAACTTAATTTTATAATTTTTCTTGAACTTTTGTTATTATTGATATTCTTAATTAGTAAGTATATTTATATTCTCCTTTTAGTTATTGTCAAGAGACATAATACAAGTAAAACATAATAATTTAATGAAAATACTCAATCAAATAAAAATACTTGATTTTTTCCTAATGCTTATACTGATTATAGAATAATGTTAACAATTTCGGTAACTATTTCCTCAGATGAAAGAAGTTTTTCGAAACTAAAATTGTTAAAATCTTATCTAAGATCAACAATGTGAGATTGAATGTATTAGCTATATCATCAATTTAAAAGGAATTACTAAAACAATTATTAGAAAACAATAATTAATCACTTCACATCTGAAAAGACAAGAAAAATAGATTTTAATAAAGGCCGAACTCATAAACAAATCCCTAAACTTATTGCGTTTTTTCCATCAAGAGCCTCAACAACGCCATTTTCCTTTTGATTCATTAAACCACCCATAATTTGTTCATTTTAGACTCTATTGGATGATTTTGATCGGCTTTTTTTAATTGTAAATGTCTTCAATTGTGTTCGTATTTTAATGATTTGATTGAAGAAATGAAGAGTAACTTTGTGTTAGTCTCATTTGTTTTATAATGTGTTCAAATAACTTGAAGTAAAACAAAATTATTCTCGAACAGTTTCACAATCAGATGAACTAATGAGTTCTGGAACAACATGTGTATCTCCTACCAATATCCCTCACAAAATCTGATTCCACTATCAGCCAACAATGTTTAAAAGGAACAAATTATGGATGAGTCAATGATTCAATAGGGAAATAACATAGATTAGGTACTTGAGGGGAAAAATCCAACAATTTTAGGGATCTTTTTATGTGTTTGACCTTAAATATATATATAGTAAATCATAATTATTTTTTTGAAAATAAAATAAAAGAATAATAGGTCCCCTATTTAAGTTTTGACTTTTAGGCCCCCAATTTTGTTGAGTCGGCCCTGAGTCCATCTACTACACCAACAATCGTCATATCTACGTCTAGGATGTGATAACACATAACATCATGTTAACTTCTTATAATTATTTTCATTTCTTATGAATCTTCATAATTAATTAATTTGTATTTTTACTCCTCTAACTTTTACTCTTCTCATTGTCAACTTCCCAAAGTGGCTAAAGGCTTAATTCAATTGGATAAATGGCAATTTCCGTCCATAAATTACCATTTATATTAGTTACTAATAAATATAATTTTTAAAAAATTTTAAATATCACATTTTGCATAATAATATCCCGTTATTCATCAATTGGACTATTATTGACATTATGCTTCCTTTTTAAATACTATGTTCCTTTTTCATTTTATTTTGAAATCTTTTATTTGAGTTGAAGATTTAATAGGAATAATATCTCTAGATGATAAGATAAGAGTTAATTTAACTATACATGATTCTTTTCAAATCTAGCTTATGAGATTATATTTGATATGCAATTATTGTTGAATCATCTTCACATATAAATGTGAAAAATCAAAGGAAAGCGATGGTAATTTCTACATGTCACTATTTTATAATATTATAATCTTTGCATAATTCTTCAAATGTAATGACATATTAGTAGTTTATATAGTTTATATAAGATTAAATACTTGGATACATAATATAAGGATCTTTAATACGATAATCTTACATAGAGATCATTAGAAGCACATACTTGATGAGGAAGACATCATCGCAGAGAAAATCGCAGGCGTTAGTCGTAAATTGGTTTCTACCTCCTTTCCTTAACTTTATGTTATCACAATCGTCAATGATTAAATTATTGTAGAAAATATGTGATAACCCTAATGGGTGCATGGAGGGAGGACCGATTTATAGAGGTTATAACTTAATCTGGTACGTCCATCAAATAACCAATCTACGGATGAGATCCTTATTAGATACTATTTGTGATATTACTTCGGTTGATAGTTAATTTGGTCTATAAATAAGAAATAATTAATAGTAATTAAATAATAATTCTTACAGTTGATTCATTAATCACATGAGTCATAGTTGTTTTTGTGAAATGGATCAAGTAATAACATTATATAATTATCCATTAAATGTAGATAAAGAAGAAGAGTTTTATAGCATTTAAGGGTGTAATCTAGTGATCAATCAAATGAATTAACTCATGAAGGTTTAATAAAATAAAATAAAAATCTACTCCACCTCATCTAACTCTCTGCTCATAATTTATTTTTATTTTATTTTTATATTTTTCTTATTTTGTTTTAAATATGTAAATAAATATTTTTAGAATTTTTATACTTACGTTAGATCATATAAAATAAAAAAAAATGTTATTTAAAAAAGTTTTGCTGCAAGTAAAATTTTTTTTTCTAAAAATGCACAACATTTGTACACTATTTCTTGTTTTTCAGCAAATAACCTGTCCTGGTCTAAATCACCTGTCCTCGACTACTTGTTTTCTTTCTAGTCTCTTCTATGTCTTTCATGTGTACACTATTACTTGTTTTTGGCAAATCACGTGTCCTCGACTAAATTACCTATCCTTAACTACTTTTTTTCTTTCTACTCTCCTCTAGGTCTTTCTATTTCTCTATTCTCATTCTTCCATGTCCTAGTAATCTTCACTCTATTGTAATTCTGACACCAAGTTTTCTTAAGGAACAAGTATATTCTATATGTTCCTTTGCAGGTTACATCAGTTACATTTTGTAAAGAAGATAAAATAATGACATAATATTTTATCGCAGAAAACCCCAACTCATAATGGGTAAAAATCACGACCTACACTTCTATAGGATTTACTTCATTAAACTATGATTCTCAACAAAAGATCACAAACCTATGTAATATAAGGACTTACAAACTGTATTTCTTAGCTAGCCAAGACAAAAACCCTCAGGTTTAAGTCTTCTACCGTCCGTAAAGTTTCTCAAACTTGTTAGACGAATCCTACACACACACTTGATTGTAATCAAATCCCTTAATTACAATCTTATAACTTTTTCCTCACAAACTCGCAACACTCCCCGATAAATCTTTAACTCTTGATCTTGTTTTGATCTTCTTCTATGTAAGTCACAAAATTCTTCCATGAACTATTGCAATGTTTATAGACTTTAAAACTCTCCTAAGTATTGTTCAACACAACTTAGTCTTCACAGCTTTGAAAGAACTTCTTTAAACCGAACTTGACTCGAACTCCTTCTCACGTTAGGACTCCTCCTTGCATTCTGTTTTGAAAGGAAAAACTTCGACGCAATTTACCTTAATTGAATAAGAAAAATTTATTAATCACTAACTCCTTGTTCTACTTGGTTTCTACTTCCTTTTCTACTTTGAAGTTTTAAGTTCACGTCGCAAGTTTGTGCTTTTCTTCTTCTTTCAGGCTTTTTTCTCCTTCTTTACTTCAGCTTCCTTGTTTGTCTGGTTTTCCTATTTGATTAAGAAAACTATCTTGCTTGCATACTCCTTTATAAAAGGAAATTTTCTGTTCGAGTTTCTTGTCAAAAAAATAATACTTCCACAACTTTATAATTTCTAATTCGGTGGTTGATATTCTCCTTATCCCGCTCGATTTGGTCTGAAAAGTACATGTTGGTGCAACCGGTTCCTTTCATATATTCCTCTATTTGTCAATTATCAAAATCTTTCTTGTTCAAACACATTCAAGATCAGAGGGGGCGAGGAAGTATTCGGAAAGGAGCAATACTTTAGACGAGGTGTGTAAGTTTAATTATCACTATAATTTTTGAAGATTTTTCTCCAATTGCAGCTGCAATTTTCAGGCATATATATGTTGGTTAATTGTTTTGATTTGCATTCAATTTTTTCTTTTACCCTTTTCAGTATTTTAAACTTTTGATTAAGAGTTAGATGTAGAGATGTGGATGATCTTTAAAGTTTTGATCTTTGATTGGGTTTGTGAATTGCAGTGGCCAAAGGGGTAAAAAGAAGATTAGTTGATTATTTTTGATGTTGAAGTGGATTGATTTAAATGTCTAAAATCAATATTTTTTTTAGTTTTATGTGTGAATATATGTAAATCAATCTGCTACAACTAAAATCGAATAAGTGGGTAACACTAAGAAGACGGTATGACTAAAACAATAATTTTTTTTAATTTATTGTCCTATCATGTTAAGACAATTCAGAATCTTGTACCGGTAGTCTTTTTATTAGGTGGATATATGAGTTCATTTTGTCATTTTCATTTCATCATCTTTGTTCTTTTTGTCATAAAATTATTGAAGAGGTCGATTTCTTAATGGGTAAATTAAGAATAGTAGAAGGAGACTATTAGATAGTTTGATTTGATTAGGCTTTTTGTTGAAGTAGCGTTAATATATGTTATAGTGATGATTCCTGTTAACACCTAATTTTGACCCTCCACGATTTGATTAATTTTTAAGCTTCTTAAATATTGAACAATGGGAAATAATTTTTTTTGAAATTAAAAAATACTATAAAATTATCTTCCAAAACTTTTTTTCCCACTTTTTCATATGGATTATATATCTTTATACTTAAAATATACAGATTTAGATAGTTTTTCTATTTGAATAAATAGTTAGTAAATTGATTTACAAAAAAATAAAGCTTCAATTAACTATGCAACTTATTTTCTTTAAACAGACAATTTAATTAAGGTCTTTTCTTTTGAAATAATTATTTTGATGGTGTTGAGGTTAAGAAGCTTGAGTAATTAGTTGACTTTCTAGTACATCTCAATTCCCTTTGAAACTCTCTTCAAGAACTTTATTTAGTCCATAATTGGACCATCAGATAACCTTTAACCCAAAATTTTGGCCCAAATTCTTTAAACCCATTTCACATTAACAAATCCAAGACCCAATTCAGATTTTGAAAATTTCCAGAGTCCCACATCGTTTTTCCCTTTATTTTAACCCAGAGTTTGTCCTATATAAACCCCCTCACCCTTACTGTTTAGCGCAGGAGTTTTTGGAGGCGAGAAATAGAACACCTCGCTATGTTTTTGGGAGTTCTTATTTTCGTCATTGAAGTTTTGTTGATTTGCGACTATTTTGAGTCGGAGTGGGGTTGGAATTCGTCATGTCTAGGATTGTGTTCCAGCGCTGCCTAGAACAAGGTAATACTCGTATTCCTTCTTCTTTTGATGTCAAGTGTTGGGTTTAGTTTTTTTTAGCGATTATGTATGCTTATTGTAGTTCACTAAATAAAGGTGTTTATATTGACTTGGTTGTTTATCACTCTTTGTTAGATTTAGATCTTGTCTCTTGTTTTGATCTCAATGCTCAAGAATAGAGGTTTATTTTAGCTTAACATTTTGTGAATTAGGTGGTGTTTAACTAATTACATCAAGTTGTGTTTGTTCAGTCTTTTCACTCGCTTTTTCATTTTAAAGATCGTTGTTGATAATCAGTGTTTAAATTTGTTTGAAATCCTTTATAGTATCTAGATTGAGTACCTTATTCAAATTGTGATCTTGACTGCTGGCACGATATTTCTTCCTTGATTTAATTATCTTGTCCTTCTTGTTTTACTTGAGAGATTTCCTTGTGTGTCTTCCTTTAATTTGTGCAAGCTGTGAAATATATTCCTTCTGTGTCTTCCTTTAATTCTTACAAGCTGTGAAATTTGATCTGATTGATCAAATAATCACTTTCCTTTATTTACTAGATTTGCTCATTATTCACTTGATTCCTGCAATCATGTGGATGGAGAGTCTGCGATTTGGTGATGTATCTCATTCCTTTCCTGCATCAAGTGACTAGTCAATATATGCATTTGTCATTATTAAAACCTTCGATCTTGAGGTTAACACAATGTTGTGTGCACCACTTTATGAGATTTCGTATATGAGCTGAACATTGTCTTTTTCTCTGTTTTATGGCTTTTCTTAGTTATGACGTCTTAATTTCCACTTTGTTTTTTGGGTCTTTTTACTACTGTGTTGTTTCTGCTGACTAATTGTTTTTGCTTTTTACACTTTGCATTGTGTTGTTTTTGCTTATTAAAATCAACTATACTTTCATCAACATTTGTTGAATTTCTCATAAATATCATCCTAAGACTACAAGATGAAAAGAAAAAAAAGTAGGACTCTATAGGACATTTTTAGTTTTAACAATTTGAATTCCTTAGTAACCCTAATTGATACGTCATTAAGATGTTTCCTTAATAGCTTTTCGTAAAAGGTAGAAATGTTTCCTTATATTCCTAGCTATTAATGGTTCAGTGTGAAGCAATGGTAATCAATAATCACTAAAGAAATGCGTGGTTGAACAGATATAAGAAATATTGGAATTGCAGCATGGAGTGATACCTTAACAATCATGTGCATCTGAAGAACTGAATAAACTCTTGAATAATAAGGGAGCTAATTTCTCAAAAAGTTCCCTCTTCTGGAAAAAAAGGAAAACAAAGTCAAATAGCTTATTGCCTTTGTTTTGCTTTTCCAGAAGAAGGAACTTTTCGAGGATTTGACCCCCTTATGTTGGTACCTCATTTGATACTATCACTTCGTGCCTACTGGCATTTAGAAAGGTATGCCATTACAAATGTAGATTTTATTCCTCTCAATTACAAATCAATCGGGAAGTTGACAATGATATTTTTAGAATCTAACTGCAAGGGGGCTATGAAAAGGTATTCCATTCCTCTTATTCTTTTTTCTCATGTCATGAAGTTCAAACACACTTGATAAACATATTTATTTCACACTAATATGCAGGTAGCAAAAATGCTGTAACGTAACACCATTAGTCTAAAGGAACTCTCTCAATGCTTTATTTTTACATTTACTTTCCAAGCTTCTTCTCCAATTGTTCTTGCAATTATCAGGTGTATGTTGGTTAATTGTTTTGATTTGCATTTAATTTTATTTTACCCTTTCGGGTTTGCACAAATATCTATTTTGCATAGTATTTAAATCTTTTGATTAAGGTTTATATACTGTGGGTGATTGTCAAAATTTTAATCTTTCATTGAGTTTGCGAATGTAGTGACCAAAGGGGTCAAAGAAGATAGTTATTTTTTCCATCTATTTGTGAAACTCGATTCTGGTTTCCATGTTAAAGTGGACTGACTTATAATTTCTAATATCAATATTTTCTTTTATTTTTTAATCTTATATGTGAATATGCAACTCAATATGCTAACTCATTATTAAACTCAAAATAAGGGGGTAATACTGAGAAGATGATATACCTAAAATATTAATTTATTACTTTGGTGGCATATCCTGTTAAGGCAATTCTAAATATTGTATGGAGAGAATCTTTTAGTTGGGTTGATATATGAGTTCATTTTGTCATTTTTATTTCAAAATAAAAACCTACAAAATTGACTTAGTAAAAAGGGACCTTCTAGTCGTTAGAAGAAAACTTAAATCGAAATTCCTATTAAATGAGATTGAAAGGAACGTAATACTTTTCGCAGTGTTTTTTAACAAATATTTTTGCAGTCTTTGTCTCTTATAAAAAGGGACCTTTTAATATGTTGTTAATTTGCACTAAAATATGTGAGTTATTTCTAAAAAAGAAACAATATGATGGGTTTTATCTCTCGAATTAGATAATGATGAAGTACAATTCATGACTCAACGCTACTATTAATAATAGGAAATGTGAGGAACTTCCCGTCAATAAGGTTTGATAGGGAAGCCCTTGGAATGAATGTTATTGTTGTTTGCTTTGCCTACAAAAAAAATAAAATCATGGCTTCGCAATTCATCTTTCCATTTTTGGTCTTATTAGTACTGTATTGTATTGGTTTTGGTTTTTGTTTTTTTGCATTTTCCACTGTATTGTTTAGAAATCACTTCATAAGAATTAACGTTGTAGGAGAGGCGCCTAAAAGATTGGCAGGCAGTTACTACTTGTCTTCTTTCTAACACAAATTGTGTCAAACGCAGTGGAACAATATCTCAAGTACATCATGATCTTATAATTCCGTTGCCTTCATCAACTTTAACGTCAAGTTAGGATATCAAAATATCTTTATAATTATGAGACTACCTCATTAAATGTGTTTTGACGAAAATGTTATTCATTTTTTTTGGTAAATAATGGATTTCATTTATCAAAGTAAAGACTCATTACAGAGACTAATCTATTGTCAATTAAGTTGATATTCACATACTATCCTCTTTTTTGTTATTTGTAAAGAAAATATTTTGATCTTATACGAATAAACAAGGAGAATCCAATTGCAAGACATAATTTACATGACATTTAGGTTGGGACTTGGGTCCATGCTGAATATTTATGTTGATACAAAATGTGGGTTTATGCCAGAGTAGAGGCAAAATATAAAGCACATTCGATGCTAAGTTGTTTAAATATTATAAGTTTGATTCTTGGGATGATCTTATGCACTTATTATAACAAAAATATTCAATAGGCACATAGACTATCTGTAAATTGGTAGTTCAGTATGAATCAATGTTTGATTCTACAGTGATACAAGTTTGAAACATGATAATACAGTTCGAAGTCATATAATAAATATAGCTAAACTATGATCTTTCTCACATATACATGAGAATGTTACATTCCTACCCATGTTAGTGCAAATTCATTTTGCTAAATGTAGCTAAACTAGGTAAGTTGTATTGTTACAGTGAAAACGACGTCATATTGAACAATTGCTTAATATGAAGAAATTGTAGTTATGATTTCCCAAGGGAGCGGAGATGCTAGAGTCAAAAAGTTTCATTTGTCCAGTTTTATCAAGTAGAATACTGAAGCTGTTTTAGTTAATTAGTAATGCAACCTTAGCGTGAATAGCATTAAATAGTCATCAAAACCCTCAATTTTACCTAACTTCACCATATTCAAGACTTGAAATTATACAAAATCATGCCACGATGAATCAAGACAAATAATAAAATCATATGAAAGTAAACGAAATATAAGGGTAAGCCTCTAAATGAGAAGAATAAGCCTTTGAAAGTTTTTGAGAAGTCTTTTCACGAAGAATAGGGTTGCGGAGATCAAGTACAAGTTGTTTAAAAAATTACATTTTGTGATCCTTATTGGTCGGTGCTTCGACATCAGAAGATGCCGACATTGTAGCTCCTACTCCTGTGGAAGTGTCAACACCGACTGAGAGACTTAGGCAACTTTTTCATTTTTAAAACCTCAATCAAATGCTTTTATCATTTACTTTTTTTTTTCGGTTTTCCAAATTGATTTTCTCTCCTCTTTCTTCTATTTCGAAAATAAATAAAGAGAATTCGGCATTTGATTTAAAACCACACCATAATCAATGAAGATCATTAATGAACTTTAAAAGTACATGAAAGACACATTTTTAATCATTGATGGTGCCACAATTTTAAATGAAATGATGATTTGCCTTCATTCAATTATGGAATAGAATAAATAGGAGAGGAAATAAAATAAGGAAATAGGAAGTAAGAAAATGATAAAAGTATTTTGTTGAAGCTTTAGAATAAAAAACTTAACTAAGTCTCTCTCAAGCACTTTGACATTGTTGACATTTTCAGAGGAGTAGGAAGTTTGCCGCCTTCGTCTTTCGGTGCCGGAGCACCAACCAATAAGGACTGCAAAATATAATTTTCTGAACAAATTGTACTTGATCTCCGTAACCCGAATCTATGTGAAAAGCCCCTTCTTGAATATTCCCCCTAATCTATGTTAAAAGGACCTTCTAGAACATTCCGGTGTTATTTTTTCATGTTTCGATGTTTGCTTTCATGTTTCGTTCTTATTATCATATTGTTTTCTATCGATTCCTTGGGAATGATTTGTATAATTTCAAATTTTCATTATGGTGCTTTGAGGATTTCGATGACACTATTAAACACTTGTAACTTGAGAGAGTTTAAATGTAATAAAATAAACAGAAAATTAATTAAGATGGGAAATGATGTTATCAACTGTCGAATTTAGATATTGTTGAGAATATTAGGAGGAAAAAGAGGTTTAATTTCATGTAACCTATTATAATCTTAACGATTTAAGTTATGTCATCTGGGATTGAGCTGTTTCATAATGAATTGAAACATAATTTTAAAAAATCATTATCGAAACTATTTCTATATAATTAGCAAGTAGAAAATGGTGTGAATACTACGTAGCAAATAAACTATGGACGACATCTAACTTCTACCATCCCACTTCTAGTTAATACTGGCACATGGCCCCCTTAATATTACTGTGGCACACATTTGATACTATCGCTGCATTCTACATATATTTTAAAAATGTTTCACTATAATTCTAGAGTTTATTCGTCTCTCAAATGCACCTGCATCTCTTAGGTATTGTACCACAACACTTGCTCAATATCATATTTTCACTTAGATATAATTCGTATTTACTTCTCAAAACTAATTACACACACATAAGCCCAAAAATAAGATCCAAGTAGTATCAAATTAATGCAACTCTACATTTGTTTGATAAATCTTTGGAGGAGAATTGAAATTTGATTTATATATGAATAAATTATACACTTGGGTTTTCATTTCCTCATATTCACAAACTATCAAGTAATAGTGACTGTTCATCCTTGACAGTCAGTGATGACCATAAAGATGAAGAACGGAAGATTACATGTTTGTGACCTTAAGTTCATAAGGCACTGACTGGTGCAACACAAGAAAGTTGCCTTAAATAACTATATTCATGAAAAATACTTTTAAACCTTGAAAAACTTGGAAGTTATTTTTCATAAGAAAAAGAACCAAATAATCAATGATGTGTTCTCCTGGATAGTCTTTTGTGTGATGATAAGCGTAATTGTGATCCATCATAGTTGTGATATTTGGTTTCCCTTGAATAATCTTTTTGATAGTTTTCTACTTTGCAGAATATATTTCTTTGTATTTTTATCCCGTTCATAATAAAAAAAATAAGTCAACACCTTTACAATATTTGAGGCTTACAAACTTAGGTGTCATTGGTGATCCCGTGAAGGAAATATGTCTGGAAATAAAGTAGACATATTAACTTCATGAGGGCACCAAAGACTCAAATATTCAAAAGGTGTTAGACTTTATTGTTGTATTAAGAAAGGGGGGGGGGGTGTCACGACCCAAAAATGGGTGTGATGGCACTCGTCTTATCCCACCAAGACAAGTCAGCCTAAAACCAAATATCTAACAAAGTGCGGAAGTAAATGACAATCCAACAACAATTCCTATTATGAAACCAAGTTATATTAATCCAATCCCCAAAATCAGGTTGTCACGTGCACAAGCCTCTAATGTAAATATTAGAATTGAAATAAAATAGAAGTCTAAATGAAGTTGTCTTTCAAGTAAAAACAAAGTCATAAACTGGAGTAGGAAAGTTCGCTGAGATGACAAGCAGCTACCTCACAATCCTCCACAAGATGCCTCGGAAACGAAAAGAATGACAAGTATCACGATGATCCAGGCTCGTATCCTACAAAAATTTGTAGAAGCAAGGGGTGAGTACCAAACCCCGCGGTACCCAACAAACAAACCTCTAAACACAAGTTAAGTGAACAAAATACGGGCACTCCTTACACCATATCTAAACCTCCACGATACAGTCTAATAGGTTACAGTTTACCAAACACACAACTCAATAACCACACTCTATCAGTTTACACATTCTCATAGTCCCATCCTTCTTCTTCACAAACAATACAGGGGCACCCCAAGGTGACACACTAGGGCGAATAAAACCCTTACTCAATAAATCCTGCAACTGATCCTTCAATTCTTTCAACTCTGCTGGAGCCATACGGTATGGAGGGATAGAAATAGACTTAGTGCCCGGCTCCAAATCAATAGCGAAATCGATATCCCTATCGGGAGGAACACCTAGAAGATCAGAAGGAAAAGACAAAACAATTGTCATAAATATTATAACATGAATGGAAATTAATGGTTTGTTTAGTGTGGTTCCTGGAAGAAAATAAATAAAATTGAATTGGAATGGGAATACAGAAGAAAGGGAAATTGGTTTATTTGCATAAAATATATTATAAAGTGGTAGTTAATTATTTTTTTTATCGGATTCTTCTTATAATTATAACATTATAATTCAAGTTTTGTTTTATTGAAATGAGTAGTTGAATATTATGTGTATTGTATTTTATGAATATTATTAATATTAGGTTAATGAATGAAGACTTACCGAAGCTTGAAACTTGAATAAATATGAAAGTTGACA